TGACATGGGGAAGACATATAAGCTGCCAAAAGTAATTACAGGTCAATTAAGTGCAACTATGTAATAAAGGTAGCAAATAAATTTTCATAATACAACGGTAAGCTCACTCACGATTAATTCTTCCATGTGCACGATATGTCCGACGCCTCTGCTTCTGGGCTTGATTCACTTGGATGTGAGAAATATATAGGGCATCCACATCCAAACCTTTCACCTACAAAACACAATGAAAAAATAAATACATGTAGGAGAACAGCAACATAAAAATAAAAAAAATAAAAAAAAAATAAAAAAAAAAAAAAGGTGGCTAATATAACAAAATCTGTACCTCGGCATTACTCTCAGCATTCTTGAGTAAATCCAAAATGAACTTTGCGGATTTCACTGGCCAGCGCCCTTGACCATTTGGCTGACGATTCTTAGCCTGTGCAGTTCGCCCAACTCCACCGCAGAAGCGACGGAATGGGATGGCTTGCTTGTGAGCCATAACATCCTCCAAGTACCTTTTGGCCTTGATCAAAGGCAATTTTCGAAGAGCATGCGCTGTCTCCCTAGTATTCTGGAATTACAAATAAAAATTGACTAAGATATAGCATTCAAGCACTTTACAAAGATACATCATCCTTGCAATTATCATAGTACATCCATAGCAAAGGGGTGTAGACATGGCTATTCTCCATCGCACTTAAAAAAGCCATTGACACTTGTGTAATATAGGCCAGAGGAAATCAATACATAGTGGGCTCTGGAATACATGCAAATACTCTAATAGAAATAACACAAATAGTAGACCTTGAGCAAATGGCCAATACAAACATGTTAAATGGCTCAAACGTGCAGATACAGAATGCACTAACAAACTTATTATATAAGGTTGCCATCAGACTGAAACCACGAAAAAAAATCATTACCAATTGTGAACATGGGTAACACATCTTCAAAGACTTAAATGAAGGTAAATTCATACACAAAAACAAATATAAACCTCAATTGCTATGCAAAATCTAACCATACAAAAATTAATTAATCCAGGAATGACTTATAGATGGAAAGGCCAATATAAAATCAATTTGGCTTGGTCCTCAGACACTGTTACTACAACTATGGCAACAAATCAAATATAGATCATGGGCATTCCGCAAGGTGAAACCAATAATTTCATACGTACCATGAAAAATTAAATAGCAATTATTATCGCAAGAAAAAGGGAAATTATCAAAATTAGATCGCCATACCTTGAAGTGAACACGGAGATCAGAGCCCCTGGCTTTGCAGGCTGCAATATGGAAATAAAATAAAAAAACAAATCATTATTGAATATTTAGCTGCCAAACAGAAGGATAACTGATATCTTCTAATATAATACTTCAAAACCCCAAAACAAAATTGAAGAAAAAAACTCAAAACGAAAGTAAGCTTACACTTGGTGGGATTTTCTGGCTCTTTCGAATACTTCACCTGAAAATATCAAGACAAACACATCCAATAAAAAGCCGCAAACAAACACAAAATTAAAGATCTAAATACTAATCTTAATGTATTCTGAAAGCAAAGTTGTGTTCAAGAAATAAAAAAGAGTATCGTTACAAAAGAGGAGAATGAACTCACCATGGCTGCTGTATAGCCAGCCTCAAAAGCCATATCTCTGCAGTGTCAAGGTTATTCATAATAGTGTTGGGTTAAAGTTTGTACAAGCCAGGTTTCCTCCTCCAATTGCTGGACCTATGCACATGTTTGGCATAGTTAGTGAGAAGAAGTGCAGTGCACTTTTCTCTGAATTTATTTAGGCATCATCTCACAACTTTGTTTCATATCCTTAAAGATATAGCCTTTAGATACATGAGGTGCTTGAACTGACTGGCGCGGTAGGACAGAGAACTTCTGTAGAGGCACATTTCGTAGGATCATGTTAGCTTGCTTCCCTTTCATGGCCAACTAAAACATAACCTCCTTGAAACCTCTTTTCGTGACAAAGTTTCTTTTCAACTTGGTGGTACAGCAAATGAGTGGAGACCATGAAAGTCTCACTTATGTTGGAACGGTGAATTTATTTAGTGACAACCGAAACAAATTTGAAACCCGAACAATATGATAGCAATAGAGAATTGAATGATATTAAAAGGGTATCTGATAGAATGTGTATGTTCCTTTAAAGGTTAAATTCTTTCATCTCAAATTGTCTTCCATGGGGCCTCATTTGTATAAATGACTCCTTGAGTGTTAATTTTCAATATTTTTCCTAAATAAGTTAGTAGCTTTCTCTCCTTTTTAATCAGAAGCCTCATTTTGTAATTGTTGTCACCAGGAGTAAATGCTGATGATGTTAGAGTTAGTAGCTGCACCTGCTGCTCGCGGTGAAGCTAACAATAACTTTTAGAATTCATGGGAAGGTATTCTTTTCTATTTATGCCATGACACTGAGAATGCCCCAAAATCTTAGATTATCACTTTTGAGTTGTTGAGGTAAATTATTTGCCTGTATAACAGGTTTGGGTCTAAGACTGAGCCAGATGACTCTTCAGAGAGGATGGAATAACAAATCAAAGCCCTTGTGGTGAGTAAAATTGGTTCAAGTCCGAATTTGAATTAAGATGTTTACATACGCTGTGCATTGCGTTGAATTAAGCAACCTTACAAGTCAAATAGATCCTTACCATTTTTAATATGGCTTGTAATTGTATAACTGTATTTAAGTCAACTGAACTGATATTTTGATGTTTAAAAGGAATGTAACATACTTCAAAAGCTTTACAACCATCTGAAATGGGTTTTTTGGAGTGGCATCATTGATATTGTTGGTCACCTTTGCATTTGATTAAGTACATGATGACCATGAGAGAACGATTCCATAAGTTGTGCGTTAAGACTCCAATTATTATAGCTTCAAGTGATCTGCTAAGATGATTTCATATCAGGTGGAGGATATGTCAGCAAGACAGGTGTATGAAAAACTACTTGAAGCTGTACAGCCTGAAGGAGCTTCATTGCTGCATCTTAATTTTTGCAAGATTTTCTTGATGATCCTTATTGTTTGTATTAGCAGTGATGGGACATTTAACTGTATTTGTTGATTAATGTATAAGTATCTAGTATCGATTGTAGTTGCTATCCAGTGAATATTCTAAAATTTAGGCCTCGGTCATGATGGCATAAAAAGTTGAATGTTAGCCTCCGGCAAAAGTCAGGTTCATTTCAGCTCGTAATGTCAGTATTATTTACGAAACGAGTAACTAAGATGTCTGCTCCAATAAAAGGTTCGATTATGTGAAATTTGGATTCAAATACCGAATCAATTCTTCAATAAAGTTATTTTATTTTCAGTTAGAAAACAATTTTCAACTCAATCCATCAACTGTTTTTTCAACTGAACAATCATTAAGAAGTGACCATGAAGCTTATCATTCAAAGTTATCTCTGTTTTTGAGGCCGAAGACTTCCAGTTCCATCTATAAAGTTTTCATAAAGACCAATTGATACCCAAAAGGTTTAGAAATAACAAACATATATTTTTATATATTGTTAGGGATTTCTGTTTGCTAAAGGAAGTATAGTGATTTCATCTATAGTAACAAATTTTTAAATTTTAAACTTTTTCTCCCCTATCCATTCTCACCCGAAGCCCTTTGCACAGGTCTCTTGCCTCATCGATCGATTTTTTGACGGATTTAGCTTTTTCTGAAGTCTGGTGATAAACTGGCACTGGCCTTGTTGGAGGCGCTGGGAATGGAGATTGGTGACTGCAACCTTTGTTGAGCATGTTGTGTGCGGTTGGAAAATGTCGAAGATGGGAGACTTGTGGAGCGACGACGACCGAAAAACACAACCCACACAAGCAAACAACACTTCAATAAAATATTTTCAACACAAACTCCAAAAGAGCCCAAGATCATCAACAAAGGAGTGGCAGTCTGTTGGGTTGGTTGGGGAATTTTCACAAATAGATGGAGGGCGGCAAACACTAAGTACTAACAACAAACGACGAGTGGGAGGGGGGAGACGATGGGAGGTTGGATTTCGAAGAGGGAATGGTGGGATTCGATCATTCGAATGGTGGTGGAATGGGATTTTCATGTGAATATTGACGAATCGGCCTCAAATATGGGTAGTTCAAGAATAACATGACTCATTTTCGCGATTAATGGGTGCACCAGTGTCGGGATTAGGTGGGTTATGAGGGAGGGCCAAGAGGGTGGATGGGAGGTTTTGGGTGGAAAATGGCTGACAGAAAAGTGGCCAAAACGCCGATGGCAAAGGTTGCTAATGTCTGATGCGAGAAGAAGAAGATGTTTAAGGGTATTCTAATCTTTCACCATTTTCGTCTTTAGCAGATGAAAATTCTAATAAACATGACAAAAGTGGTTGTAGTCATTTTCAAAACTTTGGGCATCACTTGTCTTTACACAAACTTTGGATAAGTGTAATCGTTCCCTTTATTTTGGATATAAATTTTATTTAGGATAGAGGTGAACATTTTTTTTTTGTTTTTTCAAAGGTCATGCGAGGATATATATTTTGGTTAATATCATTTTAACAATGTTTAAAACTCGACCGCCCACCGATGAATCGGGACCTTCATGAGCCAGGTTCAATTTTCTTATTCATTGAAAACCTTAAAAATTAGACCATGATGACAAACAATTGAAAGCTAAGATGTTCAGGGTTTTAGAAGAAAAGGGACATCAGTGAAAAGGTGGCAACGAAGTGAGATCCGATATGAATTGACTAGAAATGCAAAAATAAATTACGACAAACACACGTGGCAAAAAGAGAGGGTGAGATAGGTTTTGGTCAAGAATGAGGAGTGTTTTCATGGTGATTCAGAGTGTTGACTAAAAAATCAGACCCTATTTCCCTAATGTGAATTGTTGACACGACAGCAGTGTTGGAGTGTTTTTGCAAGATCTCAAACCTGTAAGGATTTGCAAAATTTTCAAAGCCATTTTTGGAAAACTATAAATTTAAAGGAATTAATATGCCAAATTTTGATTTTGATGTATGCTCCTCCTGCTCTGCTTTCACAAAATATTCTTGGAGTCACTCGTTAACCCATCGAATTGGTACACCTTTAACGACGCCGTATAGATCATACGTAGCTAAAAGTTGAAATTGCTTCCTACAGGATGTAAGATTGGGCGGGGTTGGCTAGAGACGGAAGAAAATGCCGAAGAGAACAACCCACACGTACTCGAGCGAGGACGCCGCTCCAGATGGCCCTGATTCTGATCTCTTCGTTTATTATTGCAAGCACTGCGGATCTCACGTCCTCATCACTGGTTCTCTCTCTGTTTTTACTTTTAAATGTCAAATACTTGTTGATGTAGATCGAAATTCGCATTTTTTTTTACTTCAAAAAACAATTCCACTTTAGCATCTTAACCATTAAGTGTATATCCTCTATTGAAATATATTTGTTATAAGATACCCAGTTGCAGAAAATGCCCAAAAGGAAGACTGACAAAGCTTATGTATTGGACAAGAGCAAGCATCTTGCAAGATTGAACATCAATGATGCCGGAAAAGTTCTTTTAAAACGGTACTTTAATCAAATCCAAATGATATCGTACTTTTTTTATTTTTGTTTTCAACCACACATAGGTTAGCTATATTTTTAGAGTAAACTATATAACAGAGGTTATTTCTTTCTCTTCTTTTGTCATATCTGGATAATACAAGAATCTTCAGAATTTCTTCAAGTGGTGTTGAATAAACTACTTGGATATCTGGATTATTAGTGACATTTTTTATGAGTTGGAACATTGTATTAAAAAGCAGACTTGGTGCCGCATCCATGACGACCATGACCATCTATTTTCATGGAAATATGGTGTTTGAATTAACAATGTTGTTTCTTCAAATTGTTTGGACGGTTACACAGAAGATTTCTTAAGTTTAACATGATGTTACCTTAGCTGTGTAGGCTTCTTAAGCATTTTTAATTTGAATTTTGGGTTAATTGTTGCTCTTTTCAGAGCTTTAGGAAGCTGGCACCCATTCAAAGCTGTGCTCCAGCTGTGCTTTGGGGACTTAAGAGTCATTTGGTAGGAGTTGCACCATGGACTGGTCTGTAATCATCGTTTGGATATAGAACTAGAAGTTAAAGAAGCATTATCTGTTATGATATTTTAGTTCTTTAGTTTGAAGTCTTATATTAGTGGACTTTTGCTTTTCAATTTTAGTATTAGGATGCATATTTAGAGATTCTTCCTACCTCTATTCTCTTAAAAATTCCACTTTTGAGTGCTTTGAAGTTTAATCTCATGAACTTCTGTTTAACTGCATGCACAATTCTGTTATGCATTTCCTCGAATGATTCTGCATTTTTTTTGTCTACTTTTTGCTGCTTTGAGTTAAATAATTTTATTTGTGCCTTACTGCCTTGTGAGCATGGCATATGAATATGTTCTTCACTCTTTTTGTAATTGTCTCATTAATTATGGCTGACAATCTGCCTTTAAATAATGTTTCATTAGTTAAAGCTCTGTAACTGTTAAAATTTTATGTATGATATTTCTTTTGCTTAAATTTATCTGGTCAACACAAATCATAGTTGCATAAGACCTCTTATTTGCAACATCTACTTCTTCTTGTGTAGTGGTGAAGGGAAATTGGAGAAGCAATTTCGGATGAACTGTATAGGTTGTGGGCTGTTTGTTTGCTATCGTTCAGAGGAAGATTTGGAAGTGGCTTCTTTCATTTATGTTGTTGATGGTGCTCTTAGTACAGTGGCTGCTGAAACCAACCCACAGGTAGGATGTTTCTTCTGATGACAGTTATCACCTATTTCTTGATTAGTAGGTTACGAAAGTTAGATCATTCCTGTTGGTGGATATGACAGTAAATAAGCCTGAAACTGCATAGTTTCACATGGGGCATGTTAGAGGTTTTGTGGTTTTCTCTGCACTTGCGTGTTGTTTTCAGGTTATTATTTGTTTAGACAAAGTACTGCGTGATTTAATTGTGTGATCATTATTTGTTTCTCTTCTCTCTACATGTGATGTTACTCTTCAGTTGTAAGCATTAGAATGAGTATTGCATTAAAGAGACATGATATGGTTCTGGTATGTACCGCAGGATGCTCCTGTGCCTCCCTGCATATCACAGTTAGAAGGAGGGCTTGTTCAAGTGGCCATTGAGGTCGAAGACCGTGCACAACGCTCAGCAATTACAAGTAATATGACTATTTACTTTTTTATTATTGTATTTAATATGAATCTCCTGTTGTGGTCCAATTCAAAACTGTTTAATATTTTATTTTTTGTAAAATTTTACAAATAAACTTTTAGTAGAATGGAGTTTATGGAGATAATCATTTCCTAGTTTTTTTTATTTGACTACATTTGCATGTGTATATATGAAGATTTCAAGAGCGTTCAATCATTTTCAGTGGTGCAAATTAAATATTAGAAATATTAATATGTATGTATGAGCCAGCCTCAAATGCCATATCTCTGCAGTGTCAAGGTTATTCATAATAGTGTTGTGGTTAAAGTTTGTACAAGCCAGGCTTTCCTCCTCCAATTGCTGGACCTATGCACATGTTTGGCATAGTTAGTGAGAAGAAGTGCCAGTGCACTTTTCTCTGTAATTTATTTAGGCATCATCTCACAAGCTTTGCTTTCATATCCTTAAAGATATAGCCATTTAGATACATGAGGTGCTTGAACTGACTGGCGCGGTAGGACAGAGAACTTCTGTAGAGGCACATTTCGTAGGCTCATGCCTTAGCTTGCTTCCCTTTCATGGCCAACTAAAACATAACCTCCTTGAAACCCCTTTTCGTGACAAAGTTTCTTTTCAACTTGGTGGTACAGCAAATGAGTGGAGACCATGAAAGTCTCACTTATGTTATGGAACGGTGAATTTATTTAGTGACAACCGAAACAAATTTGAAACCCGAACACATATGATAGCAATAGAGAATTGAATGATATCAAAAGGGGTATCTGATAGAATGTGTATGTATTCCTTTAAAGGGTTAAATTCTTTCATCTCATAATTGTCTTCCATGGGGCCTCATTTGTATAAATGACTCCTTGAGTTGTAATTTTCAATATTTTTCCTAAATAAGTTAAGTAGCTTTCTCTCCTTTTTTAATCACGAAGCCTCATCTTTGTATATTGTTGTCACCAGGAGTAAATGCTGATGATGTTAGAGTTACTGTAGCTGCACCTGCTGCTCGCGGTGAAGCTAACAATGAACTTTTAGAATTCATGGGAAAGGTATTCTTTTCTATTTTATGCCATGACACTGAGAATGCACCCAAAATCTTAGATTATCACTTTTGAGTTGTTGAGGTTAAATTATTTGCCTGTCATACAGGTTTTGGGTCTAAGACTGAGCCAGATGACTCTTCAGAGAGGATGGAATAACAAATCAAAGCTCCTTGTGGTGAGTAAAATTGGTTCAAGTCCGAATTTGAATTAAGATGTTTTACCATACGCTGTGCATTGCGTGTGAATTAAGCAACCTCTACAAGTCAAATAGATCCTTACCCATCTTTTAATATGGCTTGTAATTGTATAACTGTATTTAAGTCAACTGAACTGATATTTTGATGTTTAAAAGGATTTGTAACATACTTCAAAAGCTTTACAACCATCTGAAATGGGTTTTTTGGAGTGGCATCATTGATATTGTTGGTCACCTTTTGCATTTGATTAAGTACACGATGACCATGAGAGAACGATTCCATAAGTTGTGCGTTCAAGACTCCAATATTATTATAGCTTCAAGTGATCTGCTAATGAATGATTTTCATATCAGGTGGAGGATATGTCAGCAAGACAGGTGTATGAAAAACTACTTGAAGCTGTACAGCCCTGAAGGAGCTTCATTGCTGCATCTTAATTTTTGCAAGATTTTCTTGATGATCCTTATTGTTTGTATTAGCAGTGATGGGACATTTAACTGTATTTGTTGATTAATGTTATAAGTATCTAGTATCTATTGTAGTTGCTATCCAGTTGAATTATTCTAAAATTTTAGGCCTCGGTCATGATGGCATTAACAAGTTGAATGTTAGCCTCCGGCAAAAGTCAGGTTCATTTCAGCTCGCGTAAATGTTCAGTATTATTTACGAAAACGAGTAACTGAAGATGTCTGCTCCCAATAAAAGGTTCGATTATGTGAAATTTTGGATTCAATATACCGAATCAATTCTTCAATATAGTTATTTTATTTTCAGTTAGAAAACAATTTTCAACTCAATCCATCAACTGTTTTTTCAACTTTGTAACAATCATTAAGAAGTGGACCATGAAGCTTATCATTCAAATGGTATCTCTGTTATTTTGGAGGCCGAATGACTTCCAAGTTCCATCTACCCAAAGTTTACCATAAAGATCAATTGATACTCAAAAGGTTTGGAAATGATAAACATATACTTTTTGTTATATTATGTTAGAGATTTCTGTTTGCTAAAGGATAGTATAGTAATTTCATCTATAGTCACAAAATTTTTAAATTTTAAATCTTTTTCTCCATATCCATTCTCACTCGAAGCCCGTTTGCATAGGCTTGTTGCCTCATCGATCGATTTTTTGACCGGATTTAGCATTTTTCTGTGAAGTCTGGTGATAAACAATGACACTGGTCCTTGTTGGAGCGCACTGGGAATGGAGATTGGTGACTGCAACCTTTTGTCGAGCATGTTGTGTGCGTGCTGGAAAATGTCGAAGATGAGAGACTTGAGGAGCGACGACGACCAAAAAACACAACCCACACAAGCAAACAACACTTCAATAACAATATTTTCAACAACAAGCTCCAAAAGAGCCCAAGATCATCAACAAAGGAGTGGCAGTCTGTTGGGTTGGTTGGGGAATTTTCACAAATAGTTTGAGGGCAGGCAAACACTAAGTACTACACAACAAATGGCGAGTGGGGAGGAGCGATGGGAGGTTGGATTTCGATGGCGAGTGGGGGTTGGATTTCGAAGAGGGAATGGTGGGGATTCGATCATTGGAATGGTGGGGATTCGATCATTCGAATGGTGGATTTTCAATGTGAATATTGACCAGAATCCGGCCTCAAATATGGGTAGTCATAAAGAATAACGGTGGCTACATTTTCGCGATTAATGGGTGCACCGATGTCGGGATTAGGTGGGTTTAGTGAGGGAGGGCCAAGAGGGTGGATGAAGGAGGTTTTGGGTGGAAAATGGTCAGAAAAGTGGCCAAAACGCTGATGCCACAGGTTGCTAATGTCTGATGCTGAGAAGAAGAAGAAGATGTTAAGGGTATTCTAGTCTTTTTACCATTTTTGTCTTTTAGTAGATGGAAATTCCTAACAAAACATGACAAAAAGTGGTTGTTTGTCATTTCCAAAACTTTAGGGCATCACTTTGTCTTTACAACAAACTTTGGGTAGGTGTAAATCGTTTCCCCTTATTTTGGATATAAGTTTCATTTAGGATTAAAGGTGACCGACCCCCCCACCCCCCCTTTTATTTATTTATTTATTTATTTTTTTCTGATCGAGGTCATGCGAGGGATTATGTATTCTGGTTAACTATTCATTTTTAGTAATGTTTTAAAACTTGACCGACCCAACCGATTGAATCGAGACCTTCGCCGAACCAGGTTATTAATTTTCTTATTCATTGAAAACCTTAAAAATTAAAACAATGAATGACAAACAATTAAAAGCTAAGATGCTAGGGCTTTTAAAGAAAAAAGGCCACTTTGTGAAAAGGTGGCAACGAAGGTGAGATCCGATAAATGAATTGACTAGAAATCGCAAAAATAAATTAACGACAACAACATGCGACAAGGCAAACAAGAGAAGTGTGAGATGAGTTTTAGTTAGAAGACTAAACAAAGTGTTTTCATGGTGATTAAGAGTGTTGTCATAAAAAACAGGCCCTATTTGCCCTGAATGTGAATGGTTGACGACAATGGTGTTTGAAGTGTTTTTGCAAGATCTCAAACCCGTAGACATTTGTAATAATTTTCAAGGGTGTTTTTGTTAAATTTCAAACCTTTGGACACCAGTTTGACCCACCAATCAAACCGGATAAACTTGTCAACCCAAAAACCACTTGGCCGTGTTTCACCAGGGTTGTTTATTAAAACACTGATTTCTAGTATCATGCGATTCGATAATTTCGTTGAAGATACGAAGAGCATAATTGGCTGGTAGTATTGGTAAGCAAGTTGTGTACTTGTGTTCCCAATCAAGACAAGACTACTAAGAAACTGCAGCTGAAAATACAGCTCAAAGAACAATATAAACATAAAACACAATGGAAGAATAAGCAATTCAGCAGAAGAGCCACACATGATTGTTTATAACAATGCCAACTTCAACTTGCTACCACCATCAAAAAATCCACTGGGAAGTGAATCATTTTAACCCAGCCATTGCTCAGCAGAAACAAACTAAGTACTAAACCACAGAAACTCCCAAAAAAATTATGCTATAATGAAACTTTGAAGTTCACTGGACACTATCAGAGTACAAAAACAAAAATTTTGTAATGGTACTATGGAAAGGGAAAAAGGAAACAGTTCAGACTCCATTCAAGAGGAGCACCCTATGCAGCTGCCTTTGTTTTCCTTGGTGCCAACTGGGTGTCAGGCTGAAAAACAAACAAAGTGTATCAGATGCATCTACCTAATTGTTGTGAGAGAATATTCATCAGAATATACAATCTAAATTGGTTAATAGAAACATATATAAAAAAAAAGTTAAATTAGAAAGCAAGTCTACACAACACAACAAAAGCACATAATCCTTTCAACAATTCACTCCCTAAATAAAATTCTTACTACAAAATTTATTCTGAAAACATACCTCTTTCTTCACAGGCTCTTCCTTTTCCGAAAGAGTTAATTCGATATGACATGGGGAAGACATATAAGCTGCCAAAAGTAATTACAGGTCAATTAAGTGCAACTATGTAATAAAGGTAGCAAATAAATTTTCATAATACAACGGTAAGCTCACTCACGATTAATTCTTCCATGTGCACGATATGTCCGACGCCTCTGCTTCTGGGCTTGATTCACTTGGATGTGAGAAATATATAGGGCATCCACATCCAAACCTTTCACCTACAAAACACAATGAAAAAATAAATACATGTAGGAGAACAGCAACATAAAAATAAAAAAAATAAAAAAAAAATAAAAAAAAAAAAAAGGTGGCTAATATAACAAAATCTGTACCTCGGCATTACTCTCAGCATTCTTGAGTAAATCCAAAATGAACTTTGCGGATTTCACTGGCCAGCGCCCTTGACCATTTGGCTGACGATTCTTAGCCTGTGCAGTTCGCCCAACTCCACCGCAGAAGCGACGGAATGGGATGGCTTGCTTGTGAGCCATAACATCCTCCAAGTACCTTTTGGCCTTGATCAAAGGCAATTTTCGAAGAGCATGCGCTGTCTCCCTAGTATTCTGGAATTACAAATAAAAATTGACTAAGATATAGCATTCAAGCACTTTACAAAGATACATCATCCTTGCAATTATCATAGTACATCCATAGCAAAGGGGTGTAGACATGGCTATTCTCCATCGCACTTAAAAAAGCCATTGACACTTGTGTAATATAGGCCAGAGGAAATCAATACATAGTGGGCTCTGGAATACATGCAAATACTCTAATAGAAATAACACAAATAGTAGACCTTGAGCAAATGGCCAATACAAACATGTTAAATGGCTCAAACGTGCAGATACAGAATGCACTAACAAACTTATTATATAAGGTTGCCATCAGACTGAAACCACGAAAAAAAATCATTACCAATTGTGAACATGGGTAACACATCTTCAAAGACTTAAATGAAGGTAAATTCATACACAAAAACAAATATAAACCTCAATTGCTATGCAAAATCTAACCATACAAAAATTAATTAATCCAGGAATGACTTATAGATGGAAAGGCCAATATAAAATCAATTTGGCTTGGTCCTCAGACACTGTTACTACAACTATGGCAACAAATCAAATATAGATCATGGGCATTCCGCAAGGTGAAACCAATAATTTCATACGTACCATGAAAAATTAAATAGCAATTATTATCGCAAGAAAAAGGGAAATTATCAAAATTAGATCGCCATACCTTGAAGTGAACACGGAGATCAGAGCCCCTGGCTTTGCAGGCTGCAATATGGAAATAAAATAAAAAAACAAATCATTATTGAATATTTAGCTGCCAAACAGAAGGATAACTGATATCTTCTAATATAATACTTCAAAACCCCAAAACAAAATTGAAGAAAAAAACTCAAAACGAAAGTAAGCTTACACTTGGTGGGATTTTCTGGCTCTTTCGAATACTTCACCTGAAAATATCAAGACAAACACATCCAATAAAAAGCCGCAAACAAACACAAAATTAAAGATCTAAATACTAATCTTAATTTATTCTGAAAGCAAAGTTGTGTTCAAGAAATAAAAAAGAGTATCGTTACAAAAGAGGAGAATGAACTCACCATGGCTGCTGCTGCTGCTCAGTGTCACGACTTTCAGCCAAGAAGAAATGCGCGTTATAAGTGAAACCCTAGGGTTTATCTGCAATATTGGGCCTGTCTCTTCGAATGATCCGGCCCAAGTTTGACCATTTATGGGTTATACTAACTTATTTGGGCTGGGCTTTGTTTAAAATCTTTCTTTCATCCAATAAGTTGCTGCCGCGTTCAGAACTTTGAATTTGGTCAAACTAACGGGAGGGTACTTCTGTAAATTTGTCATTCGAAAAATCATTAAACCAGAAATAGACTTTTGAAAAAAAGGAGATGGGAGAAGCAATTTCGCTCCATAATCTAATCTGTGAACAGAGAAAAAGAAAGAAACCAAAGGACAAGATTCTCGTCCGTGCCGTACTCTCGTAAGGACATTGTTCTTCGTCTATTATTGCAGTTAATCATGTTGAAATTTGTTTATATGTATTTTTGTTTTGATACTAATGGTCTGTTGTTTTGAGCTTTGAATTGCCTGTTTTGGTTCT